CTTAACTGTTGTTGACTACAACCTGAGAACCCTCACAACTGTTCTCTGCAACGTTTTTGGGACATCCGGGTGCATAGTCCCCTCTTTAGCCATCAGCTGCGGCCTGAGTACCCCTCACAGCCACTTCTCTTGGTCCATACCTCAGTGCTTACCATTCTTCCCTGGCATTAACTGGGGTCTGAGTCCACTTGTGACTGCTTCCCTTGACATTACTTCCACAATCCCACGCTGTCTTTAAAGTACATGTGATATCCATTTTCCCAACAAAAAAAAGGTATTCCCACACAGATGGTGGGCCGAATCATACTCTCATTACCAACTGTTGTAATTGTGGTTCACTAGAACAATAATTAGAATACAAGGTAGATGGAGAGTAAATTGAACAGGGAACACTTTATTGCATCCTGTCGACTCCACTGTCAGTTCTCAGACAGCCTCCCCTAGCTCCAGCTTCTGGTCACCTGACCTGTTCTTTTGAAGGGGCAACACACATCCAACTACATCTGAATTAATCTTTAGGCTGGGATTCCTCTGCACAGTATTACAAACAGGATAACAATTGAGACGAATGGAGAGGAGCTGGTGACATGGTCGGAGAATACCCAGAGATTGTGGACAACATGAAGTGGGTTTACGTGTAGCACTTGTAACATAATTACTACTGATCCACTTGAGCACCATGTCACACACTTCAATAGATCTAGGCAACTGTCGAGCTGATACTTACAGCTTAGCCTCAAACTGGCTTCTACAAGCAATGTACCGCTGAACCTGAGACTGATTGATGCCATAAATAGCTGTCCACACAAAGGTTCCACCAACCACGATCGTCCAGAAGGTGTGTCGTCTTATTGGGCTTGGATCAAAGCTGAGAACAGGCAAGGAAACAGTGGTGAGGATCGACTGTTTGATTTGTTGTAGTTTTATTGCTGGAGTAACAATGAGACAGTAGAGACAAAGTGCTACCATCATGCGCACATGCCCATGTGAGTGCACGATCTCAGCTGGCAGAACAGCACAGTGGTGAGGCAGTGCCACCTGTTGAAAAGACTATCCCTTTGATTTTGGCATTTACGTGTAGCTCTAGCTGCCTGTTCTGACAGTTATAGAATCATAAAGCACAAAACCAGACCCTTCCATCCAACTCATCTGCACAGACCAGATATCCCAATCTGACCCAGTCCCATTTGTCAGGATTTGGACCAGATCCCTCTAAACCCTTCCTATTCAACCATCCAGATGGCTTTTAAATGTTGTAACTGTACTCACCTCATCACTTTCTCTGGCAGCTTGTTCTAGACACGTACCACCTTCTGCATGAAAAAGTTACCCCTCAGCTCCCTTTTAAATTTTACCCCTCTCACGTTAAACGTACATCCTCTAGTTTTGGACTCCCTCACCTGTGGAAAAAGACCTTGGCTATTCACCCTATCCATGATCCTCATGGTTTTATAAATGTCTATAAGGTAACCTTCATTGGCCTTCATTTTTCAGCAGCAGAGGGAGAGGCGACAGCGAGGACCAGGGGGCTGCCAGGAAGGTAAGCTTTCCCTCTTAAAAGGGCTTACCTCGAGCGTCAGCGGCCTTCATTTTTCAGCAGCAGAGGGAGAGGTGACAGCGAGGACCAGGGGGCTGCCGGGAATATATTTGGGCAGCGGCTGAACCCGAGACACTAAACGTGTAGTGTCTCCCACCCGCCGCCCTCCTCTAACCAAAAAAAAAAGGACTCTGTGGTGTGTTGGTAAGGTAAGGTTTTTATACTTTTTCTATTTCTTCTGTATTGTGTAATTGGTTAAAAATTTACTTTTTCTTTATTTATCTATTAATTGGTTATTTGAAAGGAGCATAGCAGAGAAGTATTAGAAAGTATTTAACTCATAAATTGAGATAAAGTAATAAAGTAATTAACTAAGTAGAGATGGCTGGGCAGGTGATGTGCTGTAGCTGTATGATGTGGGAGCTGGCTGATCCCATTGTGAACGGCAGTGACCACATCTGCAGCAAGTGTTGGTTGCTGGAAGAACTCCGGCTCAGAGTTGAAGATCTGGAATCTGAGCTTCAAACACTGCGGCACATCCGGGAGGGGGAGAGTTACCTGGACGCTTTGTTTCAGGAGGCAGTCACACCTGGTAGATTAAGTAATTCAAATCCAGTTAGTGATCAGGGACAACAGGGTGTGACCGCAAGTGAGGCAGGTAGGGAGATCCTGAGTTCAGGAGTGGAGGAGACTCAGCTTTTGACCTTATCCAACAGGTACGAGATACTTGCTCCCTGTGTGGATGAGGAAAAGGGCTGCGGGGAGAATGAGCCAGCTCACCGCTGCACCATGGTGCAGAAGGCCATTCAAGAGGGGGGAGCAAAAAGACAAGGGGTAGTTATAGGGGATTCTATAGTTAGGGGGATAGATAGTATCCTTTGCAAGCCGGATCGGGAGTCCCGCATGGTGTGTTGCCTGCCCGGTGCCAGGGTGCAGGACATCTCTGACTGGCTTGAAAGGATATTGGAGCGGGAGGGGGAGGATCCAGTTGTTGTGGTCCACGTTGGGACTAACAACATAGGCAAGGCTAGGATGGAGGACCTGTTTGGGGGTTATCAAGCACTAGGAAGGAAATTAAGGAACAGTTTCTCGAGGGTCATAATCTCCGGGTTACTGCCCGAGCCACGTGCAAATTGGCTTAGGGATAAGAAAATTAGGGAAGTAAACACGTGGCTAATGAAGTGGTGTGGGAAAGAGGGGTTCCATTTCATGGGGCATTGGCATCAGTTTTGGAACCGGAGGGATCTGTACCGATGGGATGGTCTCCACCTGAACCGATCTGGAACCAGTGTTCTTGCGAAAAGGATAAATAGGGTGGTCACTAGGACTTTAAACTAGTGAGTTGGGGGGGAAGGGAAAGGGAAAACGACAGGGAGTATGATGGTAAATAAAAAGGTAAGCAGCAGGTTAGCATGTGTGCAGGAGGGTTAAAGTTCAAGGCAGACTAAGAAAGAAGCAAAAAGGAAGGATAACTCAGGAGATATTATTAGAGATGTTGGAAATCATGAGGGTAAGAAAGCTAGCATAAAGGCACTTTACCTGAATGCTCGTAGCATTCGTAACAAGGTTGATGAGTTAACGGCACAAATCATCGCGAATGAATATGATTTGGTAGCCATTACGGAGACATGGTTACAGGATGGTCACGACTGGGAGTTAAATATCCAAGGGTACCAGACTATTCGGAAGGACAGACAGGAAGGTAAGGGAGGTGGTGTAGCTCTGATATTCAAGGACGCCATCAGGGCGGTGCTGAGAGATGATATAGGTTCTATGGAGAATGAGATTGAATCCATTTGGGTGGAAATTAGAAATTCTAAGAGGAAAATGTCACTCATATAGTAGTCTATAGGCCACCAAATAATAACATCACATTGGGGCGGGCAATAAACAAAGAAATAACTAATGCCTGTAAAAATGGTACAGGAATTATCATGGGGGATTTTAACCTACATGTAGATTGGTCGAACCAGCTCGGTCAGGGTAGCCTTGAGGAGGAGTTCGTTGAGTGTATCCGTGATAGTTTTCTTGAACAGTATGTAATGGAACCAACGCGGGACCAAGCTATCCTAGATCTGGTCCTGTGTAATGAGACAGGAATAATTAATGACCTCATAGTTAGGGATCCTCTTGGAAGGAGTGATCACAGTATGGTTGAATTTAGAATACAGATGGAGAGTGTGAAGATAAAATCCAATACCAGGGTCCAAAATCCAATACCAGGGTCCTGTGCTTGAACAAGGGGAACTACAATAGAATGAGGGAGGACTTGGCTAAAGTAAACTGGAAACAAAGATTTTATGGTGGGACAGTTGACGAGCAGTGGTGGACTTTCAAAGCAGTCTTTCAAAGTGCTCAGCAAAAGTATATTCCAATGAAAAGGAAGGACTGTAAAAAAAGGGGTAATCTGCCATGAGTGTCTAAAGAAATAAGGGAGGCTATCAAATTGAAAGAGAAGGCATACAAAGTGGCCAAAAACAGCATGAAACTAGAAGATTGGGAAAACTTTAAAGGTCAACAGAAAGCCACAAAAAGAGCTATAAGGAAAAGTAAGATAGAACATGAGAAAAAACTAGCACAGAATATAAACACAGATAGGAAAAGTTTCTATAAATATATAAAATGAAAAAGAGTGGCTAAAGTAAACATTGGCCCTTTAGAGCATGAGAAGGGGAATTTAGTTATGGGATATGATGAAATGGCCGAGGCTTTGAATAGGTATTTTGTATCTGTCTTCACAGTGGAGGACACTAATAACATGCCAGTAATTGACAAAGAGACGAAGGTAGGTGAGGACCTGGAAACAATCATAATTGCGGAAGAGGTAGTGTTGGGCAAGCTAATGGAGCTAAGGATTGATAAGTCTCCTGGCCCTGATGGAATGCATCCCAGGGTACTAAAAGAGATGGCGGGAGAAATAGCAGGTGCACTGGCGGTAATTTTCCAAAATTCGCTGGACTCTGGGGCAGTCCCAGCAGATTGGAAAACAGCAAATGTGACGCCACTGTTTAAAAAGGGAAGTAGACAAAAGATGGGGAATTATAGACTGGTTAGCTTAACCTCTGTAGTGGGGAAGATGCTTGAGTCTATTATCAAGGAAGAAATAGCAAGGCATCTTGATAGAAATTGTCCCGTTGGGCAGACGCAGCATGGGTTCATGAAGGGCAGGTCATGCTTGACAAATCTTTTGGAATTCTATGAAGACATTATAAGCGAGGTGGACAATGGGGACCCAGTGGATGTGGTGTACCTAGACTTCCAAAAGGCCTTTGACAAGGTGCCGCACAAGAGGCTACTGCATAAGATAAGGATGCATGGCATTAAGGGTAAAGTATTAGCATGGATAGAGGATTGGTTGACTAACAGGAAGCAAAGAGTGGGGATAAATGAGTGCTATTCTAGCTGACAGTCAGTGACTAGTGGTGTGCCTCAGGGATCGGTGTTGGGACCGCAATTATTTACAATTTATATAGATGATTTGGAGTTGGTGACCACATGTAGGGTGTCAAAGTTTGCAGATGACACTAAGATGAGTGGCAAAGCAAAGTGTGCAGAGGACTGTGAAACTTTGCAGAGGAACATAGATACATTGAGTGAGCGGGCAAAGGTCTGGCAGACGGAATACAATGTAAATAAATGTGAAGTCATACATTTTGGTAGGAGTAATAGTAAAAAGGATTATTACTTGAATGGTAAAAAGTTGCAGCATGCTGCTATGCAGAGGGACCTGGGCGTCCTTGTGCATGAATCACAGAAGGTAGGTCTGCAGATACAACAAGTAATTAGGAAGGCAAATGGAATTTTGTCCTTCATTGTTAAAGGGATTGAGATTAAAAGCAGAGAGGTTATGTTGCAGCTGTACAAGGTGCTGGTGAGGCCACACCCTGGAGTACTGTGTGCAGTTTTGGTCTCCTTACTTGAGAAAGGATGTACTGGCACTGGAGGGGGTGCAAAGGAGGTTCACTAGGTTGATTCTGGAGTTGAGGGGGTTGGTTTATGAGGAGAGACTGACTAGATTGGGATTTTATTCATTGGAATTCAGAAGATTGAGGGGGGATCTTATAGAAACATATAAAATTATGAAGGGAATAGATAAGATAGAAGTAGAGAGGATGTTTCCACTGGCAGGTGAAGCTAGGACAAGAGGGCATAGCCTCAAGATTAGAGGGAGCAGATTTAGGACTGAATTGAGAAGGAACTTCTTCACCCAGAGGGCTGTTAATCTGTGGAATTCCTTGCCCAGTGAAGTAGTCGACGCTACTTCAGTAAACATTTTTAAAGATAAGGTAGATTTTTTTGAACAATAAAGGAATTAAGGGATACGGTGAGAACGCGGGTAAGTGGATCTGAGTCCACGAAAAGATCAGCCATGTTCTTATTGAATGGCGGAGCAGGCTCGAAGGGCCAGACGGCCTACACCTACTCCTACTCCTGCTGGAGATCAGTAGTAGGACTTTAGCTGTTGGACCGTGCTGATATATCTGCTCCCTGTGGTCCTAGTCTTATGAATGCCTAACTCTGGTGTACTTATTGTTAATAACTTTGTTGTTTTCTGTTAACAGTACCCCTTCTGTACTCTACAGGAGTGTATCCTCAATGAGCAATCACAACATTTGCCTCAATGAGCAATCACAACATTTGCCAAAGACAAAGGAGCATTGGTGGCAGTGAACAACTTCATATAACCCTTGCCCAGTATCTCCTACTGGTAGAAATGGCAAATAACACAAGGTGCCAGCAGTGGTCACCTGGGAAAATACCACAAATCATCAACACAAAGTCCCTTGTCTTATGATGAAGGATGCCCAGTAACATTAGATAACATAGAATATAAAAAGAGCCAACAATTTGGAGATTCTCATTGTGTACATTATAATTCAGAGGTTGAAAGGAAGGATACATTTAAGTTGAGTTTAAAGGTCACATTTACAAAGTGTAGGAATGGATCATTGGGACCACTATGGCTGATTTTGTGTGAAGCTGCTTTACTGTTTCAGTTTGTCTCAGTATGGTGTAACTTGTGACACATTTGAGTTAGAAATTGTGCATTCGGAGGGGCAATGATCAGTCCCATACAGACGTGGGGAGAATGTGCAAACTCCTCACACACAGTCATCCAAGACTGTCATCGAACCTGGGTCCCTGGTGCTGTGAGGCAGCAATGCTAACCACTGACCCACTGAGCTGCCCTTACGCTAAGCCATCTTTCAGTAAATGAGCGTACATTCCCACTTCTGACCTTATCATGGAGGGAATGTCATTGAAGAGGCAACTGAACATGGTTAGGCTGAGGACACTACCCTGAGGAACTCCCGAGATGTTCTGGAATCTTGACGCCTGACCTCCACCATCAAAACCATCATCCTATGTATAAAGTTTTTGAGAAGATTTGTAGCTTGCATTGTGCATGAGGTTGTAGACTTGCTTGCCGAGCCAGTGTGTTTGATGGCAGATGTTTCGTCACCCTGCTGGGTAACATCATCAGTGCGCCTCCGGTGAAGCGTTGGTGTTCTGTCCCGCTTGTTATTTATATGCCTCATATCACATATAGCATTACATAGGCCAAACTGGAAGAAAACTGATAATAAGGATACACAAACACCAACCAGCCACCAAGAGACACAACCAATTTTCACTGGTCTCAATACACACAGACAAAGAAGGATACAAATTCACCTGGGACAACACATCCATAAAAGCACGAGCCAAACAGAGACATACCAGGGAACTCCTGGAGCCCTGGCATTCCAACCAGAACTCCATCAACAAACACATTGAACTGGACCTGATACACAAACCACTGAAAAACAGAACCGGATGTAATGCCAACCACCCCAGCAAACCAAGGCATTTAAATAACCAGCAGGACAGAACACCAACCTTTCACCGGAGGCGCATTGACGATGTTACCTAGCAGGGTGACGAAAGTCTGCAACCAAACACACCAGTTCACTGAGGATGTCTACAATCTCATCTTCCTATGTGACAGATATGATTCCAATAAGCAGAAAATTTCCACCAATTATTAATTCCAGTCTCCTTGATGTCAAGTGCGGTTGTTCTGGCACCTCACTTCTGGAATACAGCTCTTTTGGCCATGCTTGAACCAAGAATGTAATGAGATCAGGAGCTGAGGAACCTAAACAGAGCATGAATGAGCAGGTTATTGTTAAGCAAGTGCTGCTTGATCACTTTACTGATGATCCGATGGGATTGATTATGACCAACAGGGACAGTAATTGCACGGGATGAATCTGTCCTGCCTTTTGTGTACAGGATATACCTGGGAGACTTTTCACGTTTTTGGGTAGATTCCAGTAGTGTTAATCAGCTAGAGGCTCAGCAAGTTCTGGCACACAAGTGTTCAGTACTACCACTAGAATGTTGTCAGGGCCAATAGCCAATGCTCTCTTCATTGAATGAGGGGTTTTGCAGGTTTGATGGTAATAGTTAAGTACGGGCTCTGCTGGACCATGAAGTTGTAGATTGTGTTGAAATGTGATTCTGCTAATGTTGGTGGCCTATATTGCCATATGGAATCCCAGTGTTGCACTGCTAGATCTGTTTGATGTCTGTCCCATTTAGCACAGTGACAGTGCCACACAACACGTCAAAATCTGATTCCAAAATCATCAAATCGCTATGAGAAAGCCACCCTCCCTACATTGCTAACTTATTCTCATATCCCCAAAGATAAGTGTCAGGGTCTTACTCCCAGAAGTTGAGTCTTCCTCCATGATATGAAATATTCAGCACCTGCGCAAAACTTCCATGAATTACCGCACCTCGGATTATCACTGCCACAAACCCAAGGATCATAACCGTCAGCTGGAACACATCAGTCCACACCACAGCTTTCAGACCACCCTAAAACACAAGAGGCATCATGTTACAAAAATGGCACAAAGCTACCTAAAAAGATATGAGGATAGAACACAAAAACTGGGCCTAGGCTGTGGTTTTAAGGAGTGTTTATAAGGAGAAGTGAGAGGTAGAGCAGTGGAGGTGTGTAGGATGAGAATTCCAGAGTTGCAACTGAAGGCATGAGCAATGGGCTAGAGATTAATTTTGGAAATGTACCAGGGGTCAAATTTAGAGCAGTGCAAGTATCTCAGAGAGATGTTTGGCTGGAGGAGATCACAGAGAATTAGAGGGATTGAGTGAGATTTGCAATCGAGTGAGTGCTGGAGCTATGCTCTTCAGGGAACCAAGCAAAGGAAGGGAAAGAGGCGTTTTTTGTTGCTTTTGCACAAACGTTATCAGCCTCCAGGTATCGTTCTTGCTTTGCTGCAAAAGAAGAAACTGGTTAATTGGTGAGTATCTGCTAAGTGATTATGGGCTATTCTATTCCTAAGGAGATAAAAAAACATAAGGAACAGGAACAGGGTTAGGCCATTTGACCTTCAACCCTGTCCTGGCATTCATCAAGATCATGTCTGAAACAAACACAGAGAATGCTGGTGAAACTCAGCAGGTGAAACTGCATCTGTGGACAGAGAAACAGAGTTGAATTTTAAACCTGGAATAGCTCTTCTTCAAGGCACTTCTGAAGAACAGTCATACTGAACTCGAAATGTTAACTTTGTTCACAAATAGACTCTAACATTTCCCACTGACGGATGTTAGGCTATACAGCATGTAGTTTCCTGCTCTTTGGGTCCCCCCTTCTTGAGCAGGGGTTTCACATTCCCAGTTTTTTAATCTGCTGGAACCCTCTCGGAATCCAACAAGTTCTGGGATGTATACTCAAAACTAAAAAGACGAACTGACAGAACAGATAAAAATGAATAGTTATGATCTGGTAGCCATTACAGAGACATGGCTGCAGGATAACAGGATTAGGACTTGAATCTAGGAGGGCACAGCACACTTAGGGATGCTAGGAAAGCAGGAAAAGATAAAGAGTGCCTCTGTTACATAATGAAGATGTTAATACAATAGAGAATAAAGGCCTATAAATAGCTTGGTTAGAAAACAGAAGACAGGAGTGGTGCATAGATCATAATAATAACCACACAGTACAGTGGACAGCTTAAAAGACGAGATCATGAGAGCTTGACAGAATGGCAAGGTAATAATCTTTGGTGATATGAATCAACATATCAATCTGGGAAGTCAGATGGGCAAAGCTAGCCTAGATGAATGTGACGGTACTGTGCCTTTAAGAGAGATGTGTTCTCTCCTGTTTCTCTTGCAGACAGATGTTGGCTGAATGTCTCCTTTAGACAGATAGTTGGTAAACTGCTTGGCAATATCCCTGGGTGTTTTTTTTTAATGAAACAAAAGAATCATGAGTGGCAGGGGTCAAGGCTCACACAGAACCAGGAAGGTTTTCAGTTCTGGTTTAAGTTGGTGAGAAGGTTTCTGCTAGCTGGCTGCTGGACTAACAGCTACAGCTCTCTTCCTTGGAGACAATAAGAACTGCAGATACTGGAATCCAGAGACTATAGGCGTGGGCTGGAAAAGTACAGCAGGTCAGACAACATCTGAAGAGCAGGAAAATCCATGTTTCGGGCCGAAACCCTTCATCAAGACTGGGGAAGGGGTGGGGAGTATAGAAATAAATAGAGGGTGGGGTGTGGGGTGGGTGGAAGTGTAGGAGAGATGGTGATAGGTAGACAATGCAGGGAGGGGGTTATTGTGAGTTTTCCGTGGGAAGGGTGGAGTGTGGAGTCAGTCCTCAGCAAGGGGCTCACCTTCATTACCCTGCGCCCACACATAAATGAATTCCACACATCCCATGATGTCAAGTTCTTTTTCTGCCATCTCCACCTTCGCGCCAATTTCTTTGAACGGGAATCCAACCTACCCCCTAACTACCCCTTCTCCTACCTCCAGCAAACTCCATCCTCCTGACCTCCTACCCTCCCTCAAGCTCTTCATCTTAAACTGACGCCGTGAAATCAATCGCTTGGATCTCTCCGTCCCTCTCACTTATTCCAACCTCTCTCCATCAGAACGCACAGCCTTCCGCTCCCTTCACTCAAACCCCAACCTCACTATTAAACACACCGACAATGGGGAGGTGGGGGGGCACTGTGGCAGTATGGCATAGTGACCTCCACATCGCTGAGGCCAGACGCCAACTCTCTGACATCTCCTCCTACCATCCCCTTGATCATGATCCCCACCTCCAATCGCCAAGCCATCATCTCCCAGACCATCAACACCTCATCACTTTGGGAGAACTGCCATCCACAGCCTCCAACCTGATAATTCCCCAACCCCGCACCATCCATTTCTATCTCCTACGCAAAATTCATAAACCCAACTGCCCCGGTCGACATACTGTCTCTGCCTGCTCCTGCCCCACTGATCTCATCTCCTCCTACCTGGACTCCATTCTTTGCCCTTTGGTCCAGGAACTCCCCACCTACATTCAGGACACAACCCACGTCCTCCACCTTTTCCAAAACTTTCAATTCCCCAGCCCCCAACACCTCACCTTCACCATGGATGTACAGTCCCTATACACCTGTATTACCCACAGCTGGGGGCTTAAAAGTCCTCCGTTTCTTCCTCTCCCATAGACCCAACCAGTCCCCCTCCAGTGACACTCTCATTTGCCTGGCTGAACTGATCCTCACACTCAATAATTTATCCTGCAATTCCTCCCACTTCCTACAATCCAAAGGGGTGGCTATGGGCACTTGCATGGGCCCAAGCTATGCCTGCCTCTTTGGGGGTATTTGTGGAACAGTCCCTCTTCTGCAACTACACTGGCACCATCCTTCACCTCTTCCTCTGCTATATTGATGACTGCATTGGTGCAGCCTCATGCTCCCGTGAAGAGCTCAAGTAGTTCATCAACTTCACCAACACCTTCCACCCAGCCCCCAAATTCACCTGACACCTCCCTCCCCTTACTGGACCTCTCCGCCTCCATCTCCAAAAACAGACTCACCACCGACATCCATTTCAAACCCACCGACTCCCCAACTACCTCAATTATACCTCCTCTCACCCACCCTCCTGCAAAAATGCTATTCCATATGCCCAATTCCTCTGCCACATCTGTGCTCTCCGCACAACAGCCAACCCGATCTTCCATTTGCCATCTATTTTAATTCCGCTCCCCCCCGCACTCCCTGATGACATAACCAACCTTGGTCTCTTCCACCGTCACAGTGAGGCCAAACAGAAACTGGAGGAACAACACCTGACACTTCGCCTTGGAAGCTTACAGCCCAATGGCCTTAACATTGACTTCACCAGCTTCAAAATCCCTCCAGCTCCAGCCTTATCCCATGTCCAGCCCTCACCCTCTTGACCTGACCTAATATGTCCATCTTCCTATTCACCTATCTGCTCTCCACCCTTCCCACAGATCAATCACAATAATCCCCGAGCTGCATCCACCTGTCATCATCTCTCCTACCCTTCCCCCCGCCACATACCCTTCCCTCTATTTATTTCTGGTCTCCCCTCCCCCTCCCAAGTCCTGACGGAGGGTTTCAGCCCAAAAAGTTGACATTCCTGTTCCTTGGATGCTGTCTGACCTGCCGTGCTTTTCCAGCCTCACACCTATAAGCTAGAGCTCTCTCTATGCTGCTAGAGTGAGAAGATAGCTTGTGAGTGTAAAACTGTTTCGTTAAATTGCCTTGCCAAGGGTGTGATTATGGGATATTGCTTATATTGGTACAGTTTATGATTAGTGGTTAAATCATACAGGTATTTTTGCTGTAACGCGTGTTTTGTTAACGCAAATTGGCTGTAACACAATTGATGAATAGTGGACGTTGTTTGGATAACGCGAACTTTCTACAATACAGTATAGCAATTTTCTATAGCAATTTCACTACAAAGCAATTTTCTGTAGTGATTTTCTGTAGCGCGAGGTCACACAAGAACGCAACTATCATGTTATAGGAGAAATACCTGTATACTATTTCACTAAGTATTTCAAAAGAATTAAAGTTGTGCCAATTTTTTTTCATTTGTATTTTAACTGTGTTGTAAGAATAAAGTGTATTCTGATTAAAGCCTAGTGGTGGACCACTCAAATCATATCAGGAACACAGCATTTCACACTTGCTTTTAAATAAATATAAAGTTAGGGTCTAGGCTATTTCCTTACAATACTTGGGGTGGAAGAGGGTAGTGGGGGTGGGGATTGTTGTGGAGATCTGGTCTGGTCCATAATGTGAGGAGTTCAAAAATGGAATTTTTGGAACAGCATGGAGCTAACCAGAAACCAAGTTACACTGGAACTGGTATTAATGATCTCACAGTGAAGGTGTCCCTAGGTAGCATTGGATGCAATATGATTGATTAAATTTTACATTCAGTTCAAAGGTGAGAGGAGTGGGTTCAAGATTATTTTCATAAAATCTAATTAAGAACAATTATGAGGACATGAAAGCAGAGCTGCAACAGTGAATCGGCAAAGTAGGTTGAAAGATAGCTTAATAGTGATACAATGACAGACGTTTAATGGGATATTCCACAGTATGCAGAATAGATACATTCCAACAAGTACAAAAAATTCCAAAAGAGAGACGCACCAATCATGGTCAATCACAAGTGTTAAAGATAATATCAAAATGTAGTGATTGGAACCAGGGCAAGGTGGATCTCATTAACTATGAGATCCTAGGTCGTGGTTGTTAATGTGGGCCAATCTGGGAGCCCTGGCCGACAGATATAAGGAAGAAATTCAGACAGTGTCCCAATCCTAGGGAATGGCTCTGAGCTGGCTGGTCAGAGCCCATGTACATACCACATGTAAATAAATGGTGACTTGGTGATGGGATACCGGCCGCTGTGCAGTTATTTCACAAACTAAAAGAAAAATCAGGTATTTATGCAAAGACAGGTGGCACATCAGAATATTGGAGAATGTAAAGAAAAACAGCAAACACTAGCCAGAAGTTAAAAAGGGGGAAATTTCTGAGTATAAAAGAATGCTAGCCAGAAATATAAAACAGGTGTTAAGAATTTAGAATTTGCTTAAATATTTAATAAGGAAAAAAGTTAACAAAGTAAGTGTTGGTCCTATAGAAAGTGGGAATGATGAATTGAAGATGGAAAATAAGGAAATGGTAAATTCATTGAACAGATAATTTGCATCGGTCTTCACATTTGAAGATACAAATAACATCCCAGAAGCAGCTATAAATCAGGAAGGGAGGGAGGAATTCAGGAAAATAACAAACATGAGATGGGGGCGTTTGAGTCAATTGTTGGAGTTATGGGCTGACAAGTGCCCAGATCCTAAGGGACTTCATTCCAGGGTATTAAAATATGGCTGGTGAAAGGTTGATGCATTGGTCTTAATCTGCCAAAACTCCCTTGATTCGGGGATAATCCCTTTGGATTGGAAGATAGCAAATGTAACTTCTTAATTCAAAATGGAGTGATTCAGAAGGCAGGCAACTACAGGGTAATTAGCTTAACGTCTGTCACAAGAGACATGTTCAAAGCTGTAATTGACAAAGTTATAATCAGGCACTTGGATAAGTTTGAGGACATCAAGAAAAGCCAACATGGTTTTGCAAGAGGGATATTATATTTGACCTATCTATTGAAGGTAAATGTGCTGTGTCTAAAGGGGAACCGATGGTTGTACTGTACTTTTCCAGAAGGCATTTAATAAGGTGCCACATCAAAGAATATTGCAGAACATAAAAGATTGTGATGTAGGGGGTAGTATCCTCGTATAGATAAATCTTTGGTTAACACGGAGCAGAGCAGGTGAAAACTGATCTTTTTCAGTTTAGCAAGATGTAACAGGTGGAATGTCACAGGGATCAGTGCTGGAACTCAAGTGTTTATATAAATGACTTAGATGAAGGGACAGAAAACGTGGTTGCCAAATTTGCTGAAAACACAAAGATAGGTAGGACATTAAGTAGCAAAGAGGGAAAATAGTTACAAAAATATTTTGTTAGCTAGAAGAAGCAGGCAAGGATATGGCAAAAGGAAAATAATATGGGAAAATGTAATGTTGCCCATTTTGGCAGGAGAACATTATCTAAATGGTGAGGACTGCAGAGTTATAAAATGCAGAGGGATTGAGGTACATGGCTTGCCAAATGGTTAAATGACACAGCAGGCTATTGGCCTACTTCTGCTCTTGATTCATAGGTTTGTATGTTCATATGTATTCAGAACGAAAGTGAAAATTTTAATATCAGGGTGTCAGTTCACTGGGAGACATTATAGATCAGAGAGCATCAGGGTGATTGTGGAATGGAAATCAGTGTGAGTTGAGGCATGCTCAGCAGAGTTTTGCATAACCTGAAATTTACAGAAGGGAGAAGTTTAGAGATTGGCCAGAAATACATTAGAACAGTCACTTAAAAAATGAATGATTGTTTCAACTGCAGATCCGCTGAGATCAGCTTTTGGGCCCGACATCTAAAGAAAGTTAAACTGGCAACATAGGCTGTCCAGGGAAGCTGCATTATGCTGATATCAGGTATGGAGAGACTGTCTTATGAAGAGAGGATGAGTAAGTTGAATGTGTACTCATTAGAATTTAGAAGAATGAGAGGGAACCTTTTTAAAATATACAAGATTCTTAAGGGACTTGATAGGGTGGATGCGGAAAGGTTATTTCTACTTGTGGGAGAGTCCAGGACCAGATGGCATAATCTCTGAGTAAGGGGGTCACCCATCTAGGACAGAAATGAGGATGAATTTCTTCTTTCAGAGGGTATGAATCTTTGGTAGTCTTTACCAGAGAGTTGTCGAGGCTGGGTTGTTAAGTATATTCAAGGCTGAGATAGACATTTTTAATTATTAAGGGAATCAAGAGATATGGGGAAAAGGCAGATTAGTTGAGTTGAGGATCATCAGATCAGCCTTGATCTTTTGAATGTCACAGCAGACATGATGGCTGAAAGGCCTATTTATGCTCCTATTTCTTAAGGTCCTAAATGTGATTGAAAATTAATCTTGGGATCAAATATGATACCAAAGTTGCGAACAGTCTGGAGCAGCTTCACTAAGTTGCCAGTCAGAGAGATCAGTTGGCGCAAGGATATAAGGTTGTGGCCGGAACAAAGAAAATGTTTCAATCGCCTCAGAGTGCAATTGTTTCTGTTTATTCATTACAGGATAATGGATAAACAGTCTGATAACGTAGAGACAGGGAAATCGAGCGGGCTGGTGTTGTATACCTGGAATACATCAGTGAACATGCGTAAACTGTCACGCGATCTTGAAAGATATTGCTGAGGGGCAGAAAGTTGATGATGAATGGGAGGGATTAAGCATACGTCCTTAGGAGACACTAGAGGTAATGGGGCAAGAACACAGAAAAGAAGCCCAATTGGAGCAATGCAATGTCTCTAATCAGGTAGAAAAGGGTGAGACTAGGTAAACAAGGTCCCACACAGCTGGGCAACATGGAGAGACGTCAGAAGAGGAAGGTGTGATCAACTGTGTCAAAGGCAGGTGGCAGGGCAAGAAAGATGAGAAGTGTTGTCTCGGAACAAGGGGACTCAAACTTAAGAGTCGTGAGGAAAATGGACAGGCAATTGGGAGATAAATCAATCATGGACTTTAGAGAGGGAAAGGAAAGTTGGATATGGAATGGTAGTTTGCAAGGATGCAGGGATCAGGTGTTAAATACGGTGGGAATAATGGCAGATTTGAAAGTCTCTGTAACACCACACTTACATGAATCCATCTGTACTGATTCATCGGCTTCAGGATCTGTTTCTCACACCTGGTTTACACATTTGTATCACGATATATGCCCAGAAAAAGTTTGTACAAATACAGCCAAATGTATCTACATACCTTTTTGGTTCACCTGCAGCAACACACACAGAGTCACATGCACTTACACACACATACATATATAAATATAAATATAAATATAACCAGATTAAACTTACCATAGTACAGTAAAAGGTGCAGACAAGACCAGTTGAAACAAGAACACCCCAGAGATCAAATCCAGTTACTGATAAAAGCAAAAGTTATTCCAACTTAGTGGTTTAATTTTCTTTTACACAGCAATAGTTTAACTTATAAAAGTATAAATTACCTTACAAATTAAATATTGGTCCAAAAAAAGGAATGAATCAATGCTTATGCAGAAGCCACATGAAAGGTTGGGTGGGGGCATTTAAGTAAATAAATGCAGATGAATGGACTGAGAGGAAAACAAGATTTATTTCCCATCTTTGCACTTTGATTAGACAGCGATAAGGAGATATGGATAGTGACAGAACAATAGAGGGAGGTGAGAGAAATATGTGTGAAACACAATGAAAGATTAGTAATACAGATATGTTGAGAGAAGCCAGCAGAAGGATGGTGTAGAGCATGGTACGGAAATAGATGGAAAACAAAAGGCTAATAGAAACTGATATAGAAACAGGAAATAGAGCCAGGTAAGGGGAGGGGGCTAAAAAAATGAAATCATGAAAGAAAAAGGATAAAAATATTTGAAGAGGAACAGGGAAGCTGAATGCCTTGGATTTAGCATCATACAGAGTGAGGTGGAGGGGGGCGGTATGGGAAGAAGAAAGAGAGAGAGAGAGACAGACAGACAGCAGTCAGAAGCAAGGGCAGGGGTGTGGATCCCAGCTGAAAGCTGCCTGACTAACATCCAGTCCCTCAATCAAGCACTTAATTTGAGAGAAATCCCCTGTTACAAGCTATGCGCAGGGTAGCAGCAATTGTGCATCCCACGTGATGACAGCAACATTCACAGCTGGGTTAATTTTAAAATAGTGGACTGAAGCCTGTAATGTGCTGTTAAATGGTCTCTGAGAGGTCTTAATCAGTGGGTGGACTGGATGGCCAAATCTGGGCTTTCCCATCCAAAACTTAATTCTGATGGAGACAAGAAGGTGCAGATTATGGTTACGATACCACTCTGTTTAATGAACTGCCTTTCCCACATCCAAGCTCCCCACCTCTGGGAGCAGGAGATTCTGTCCGACAATTCTGATAACAGAGGAAGCAAAAGTTGCAGAAATGAAAATGTAATAGAATCTATCTCAAACTTCTTAATAATAATCTGACCCATAATATTAATGCTACCTTAATAACTAATATTTAATTGTTATCTTAAAGCAGGGATAGATTATTGAAGGTGATATTCCTCTTGGCTGTATATCAGGTTTTGTGAATATTGAGTGACATTAAAACACACTGGAGAGAAAGGCAGACTTGGATGAGATTGAATTTTATTACATTGGGAAGTGTGGAAGAATGTCAATTGCTTGTAATTACAATGAAATATTAGTTTTCTATAACAATTGGATGTGATCAACAAGCAAAATAATTTGGCATTACTTATGCCAATTTTGTCATATCATGTGGCCACCAGCATATTGAAATTTTCCATCCTAAGTCTTTGCTTCCTAATGCACACCAGGAACTAGAGACTACAGCAACCATCTAACACGGTGCATCCTCCCACAGGAGAATTTGATGCAGAATACCAGGGAATGGGAGATGCTGGCAGGGAGGAATGAACATCGGGCATTTGAGACTTTATGAAATGAATGTCAATTATTAGCTTGAACTCTCCAGAATGGACAACTGGTCACTGTCCCTTAGTGGATTTTTTGTGACCCTACACATTCCCTTATAAATTCTTCAGTCCCTCCTTTAACTAGATATTTTCTAATCAATCTGTTTACACCTGTTATGATACACCTCTGGAGCAGATGGGGCTTGAAACCTGGCCTCCTGGTCCAGAGGGATACACTGCCATTACACAAAAACAGCCCCAGTGTCTCCATGAACTAGATAGTTTCCCAATCAAGACCAAAAGAACTGCGAAGCTGTAAATCCGGAACAAAAACAAAGTTGCTGGAAAAGCTCATCAGGTCTGGCAGCATCTGTGAAGGAGAAAACAGAGTTAACGTTTCGGGTCCGGTGACCCTTTCTCAGACATCTGGAACATGTGGGAATTAAACCCAGGCCTACTAGCTCAGTGGTAGAGATACCATCGATACACTACAACAGCCTCTTCCTCTTAGGATTCGACTATACGGTTATTAGTTAATAAATGTGTAAGAAATGTTAACTTGTACTTACCCTGATTCAATGCTAGTGCAGGAGCATAAATGACAATCCCAGTGTACAGCACCTGTAAAAAGACATCCAATATCATTAATCAATAATCTCAAGCAGAACCATGACTGATACTAAATTAACAACATCACCCACTTGATGAAATTAGTGATTTCTCTCTAGCTTGGGCTTTAGGCTCAGTGGTAGAATTGGGAGACCTGGCTGAAACATGAATATTTTTCTGTCCAGCTTCTCACTCTGAGATGCTAATTCAATTTATTTTCTCCTGGTATCTTAAACAAATTGTTGATCATTGCAAATGAACCTAGACAGTGTCCATAGGTTATTAGATAAAGGCAGGAAGTTTTGGAACCTTGGTTAGAACATAGAACATTACAGCGCAGTACAGGCCCTATGGCCCTCGATGTTTTCTCCTTCTTCATCAACAAACAATTTAAAACTCAAGTATCTTGGAAATATCTTGGTGTGGTAGAAGATTTGATACTCACAGTTTGAGTGATGAAGAAACAGGTCCCAATGTACCGAATTATTTTGTTGTACCTCATAAGTAAATACTGGAGAGAGAAAAACAGTCAGTGTTGAGTAACTTATGTTTACAATGGTTCTGCATGTAATCTTACATATTCTTGCCGTATTAGGAGAGAACAGGATCAAGAGGAGATTTCCCTCTTCTGTCAAGCAACTTTGCTTTTGTTACTAAAACCTTTATATTAATTGAGCTAGGAATCAATGACCAGTTCTGTAAATCTGTAGTCCCTTCTTTGGAAAATCCTGAAATAGACCTCATGCCTGGCTCAAAAGAAAGTCCCAGCAAACAGGTTGAGAGCTGTGGTGATCTTCTCTGCTATGGGTAGTGTCATTACCGATGGACACCTTGTGGTTTTCTATATGTTAGCCCATGTAACGTATACCACAGAGTGGGTTCATATTGAGTCATGTATCTGGAAGTTTATTAACAAATAACTACATACATTTGACATATCAGAATTCCACATGCAGTCCAAGTTGTATGCTTACTTAGATTACTATTATATTGTACAAATCGATGATGAGCTGATGAACCAACTAGTAGACAGGTTGACTGCTTAACTGCTGAGTGATTGAATGAACAGAGAGCAAGAAGGAGACCTCTTATACGAGACCATCGCATGCACCATGTCTTAAAGGAATACTGCCTTTCTGAGATTGACTGAATAATACAACAAACACTATCTTAGACCTGAGCTGCACTGCAGTTGACTTGACAGAGTCCTGGCATATTATGATCAACTTTCTATGTCTTTATTTCCAAATTGTTACTTTGGCCATGTTCTGAGGTCCACAAACAAAATCAAATAAACACGAAAAACCTAAAACCTATTAGCAGCAATTAAAAGACAGTAAAAAAAAGTTTAAATCTTTCTTCTCTTTTCAGAATTCTTTTACACATTGGATTATAGAATCCCTATAGTGTGGATAAGGGCCTTTCAGCCCTCTGAAGAGCATCCTACCCAGACCCACCCATGCCTGTAACCCTGTATTTATCATGGCTAATCCAACTAGCCTGCACATCCCTGGATACTACAGGGCAATTTAGCATGGCCAATCCAACTAAGCTGCACTTTGTGGATCCAAATCCTTCATTCACTTCAGATTAGAGGCTACATTCACAGATCATTTCAATCACATAAGAAGTCTTTTCTAGTCATATCTCATCTTTGGACACTAACTTGATTCTTTTTGGGTGTTGAGCTCAATTAGAAATGACATGCAGTAGATTTCAGCACTTTTTCCAAATAAGTTCTTTTCCCTCACCACCAACTCCATTCCTCTTCCTGGAAAGTGCTTGAAGTTGAACTGGTATTTTCTCTCCATTATCAATACAGTGTAGTTTCATTTCTACAATGCCATCTGCTCAGCTCACCTTTATCATCTCAGATCTCAGCTCTAGGCTGAACAATTACAATACTGTTCTAAAGGTCTGTCACCTCTCAACTTCCATCCATGATTTTATACACTTGTCTGTTGCCTGTACCCTAACTCACACCCATTCATCCATCTTCCTTCTGCTCACTGATCTACCTTATTGGTTCCTAATCTGGCAGTGATGCCGTTTGAAATTCTTGTTTTCTGATACTTCGATGGCCTCATATCTCTCTATGTCTTGAACTCCTCCATGCTTGCAACCATATAAGATCCCTGTATTTCTCCAATTCCAGCCACTTGAGCAACCCCAATTTTGGTTGCTCCAGTATTAGTGACCATGTCTTCAGCTGCCTAGGTCCTAACCTCTGGAATTCCCACTCTACACCTGTGTCTCATCTTTCCTTCCAGTCAACCTCAAAAGCTATCACTTTGATCGAATCATTTGGTCACCTGTTCTAATAACTAATTCTGTGGCTTGGTATCAAATTTTGCCTCATACAGCTTCTTTGAATTATCTTGTGACTTGTTTTACTACAAACAGTACGCGCGATATAAATTCAAGCAATAGCCATGAATTGGCTTCAGAATGAATGTCTGTTTTATGTTTCGGTAAAGTTGATGATCTTTAATGGCACATTATTTCGGAATTAATTCCATGACCAGGGAATTGAGCTGGTTAGAGTTCAGTTTCATAATTTCCTTCCCCTCAACTTCCTCATCTATTTATCCCAGCCTCATTGCAGGATGTGATACTTACTGGAATTCAGTTGAACAAGTTCTAGAAACTCCCCAATTCCTCCTCTAAGTGACTATTGTTCACCTATATACATAAATACCAGGTGTTGACATTTATTTAACTGTTGTACTTCACTGCTGAAAGCACTGACTGACAAACAATAAGTGTCTTTGTTCACTCTAAGTATTTCAGATTTTAGAGTCATAGACTCATAGAGATGTACAGCACGGAAGTAGCTCCTTCGGACCAACTCATCCATGCCAACCAGATATCCTAAATTAACCTAGTACCATTTGCCAGCATTTGGCTCATATCCCTCTAAATCCTTCCTATTCAGTTCCCCATCCAGATGCCTTTTAAATGTTGTGATGTACCAACCTCCATCACTTCCTCTGGCAACCCATTCCATACACGCACCAACCTGTGCATGAAAAAGTTGCCCCCAAGGTCCCTTTTAGATCTTTCCTCTCACCGTAAAACTATGCCCTCTAGCTTTGGACTCCCCCAACCCTGGAGGAAAGACCTTGTCTATTTACCCTAACCATGCCCCTCATGATTTTATAAATCTTTATAAGGTTACCCCGCAGTCTCCGACGCTCCAGGGAAAATAGCCCCAGCCTATTCAGCCTCTCCCTGTAGCTCAAAACCTCCAAACCAGGCAACATCCTTGCAAATCTTTTATGAACCATTTCAAGTTTCACAATCTCCTTCCTGTAGCAGGGAGACCAGAACTGCATGCAGTGTTCCAATGGTGGCCTGACCAATGTCCTGCACAGCTGCAACATGACCACCCAATTCCTACACTCAATGCACTGACCAATAAAGGCAAGCATACCAAACGCATTCTTCCCAATCCTGTCTACCTGCAACTCCACTTTCAAGGAACTATGAACCCGCACTCCAAGATCTCTTGTTCAGCAACAATCCCCAGGACCTTACCATTAAGTGTATAAGTCCTGCCCTGATTTGCCTTTCTAAATTGCAGCACCTCACATTTATCTACATTATATTCCATTTGCCACTCCTCGGTCCATTGGGCCATTTGATCAAGATCCTGTTGTACTCTGAGGTAACCTTCTTTGCTGTCCACTACACCTCCAATTTTGGTGTCATCTGCAAAATTACTAACCATACCTGCTATGTTCACATCCACATCATTTATATAAATGATGAAAAGCAGTGGACTCAGCACCGATCCTGTGGTACACCACTGGTCACAGGCCTCTAGTCGGAAAAGCAATACTCCACCACCACTCGCTGTCTTCTACCTTTGAGCCAGTTCTGTATCCAAATGGCTAGTTCTCCCTGTATTCCATGTGATATAACTTTACCAACTAGTCTACTACGAGGAACCTTGTCGAGCACCTTACTAAAGTCCATATAGGTCACATCCACCACTCTGCCTTCGTCAATCCTCTTCGTTAATTCTTCAAAAAACTCAACCAAATTAGTGAGACATGATTTCCCACACACAAAGCCATGTGGACTATCCCTAATCAGTCCTTAACTTTCCAAATACATGTAAATCCTATCCCTTAGGATCCCCTCCAACAACAAGCCCACCACTGATGTCAGACTCACCGATCTACAGTTCCCTGGTTTTTCCCTACCACCTTTCTTAAATAGTGACACCACATCAGCCAACCTCCAGTCTTCCAGCAATCAATGATACAAATATCTCAGCAAGGGCCCAGCAATCATTTCCCTAGGTTCCCACAGGGTTCTAGGTGTACCTGACCAGGTCCCGGGGATTTATTCACCTTTATGCATTTTAAGACACCCAGCACCTCCTCCTCTGTAATGTGGACATTTTTCAAGATGTCGCTATTTATTTCTCCATGTTCTACATCTCCCATATCCTTCTCCACAGTAAACATTGATGCAAAATACTCGTTTAGTATCTCCCCCATCTCCTGCAGTTCCACACATAGGCTGCCTTGCTGATCTTTAAGAAGCCCTGTTCTCTCCCTAGTTACTCTTTTGTCCTTAATGTATTTGTAGAATCGCTTTGGATTCTCCTTATTTCCCAAAGCTATTTCATGTCTCCTCTTCACCCTCTTGATCTCCCTTTTAAGTATATTCCTCCTGCCTTTATACCCTTCTAGGGATTCACTTGATCTCTGCTGTCTATACCTAACCTATGCTTCCTTCTTATTCTTGATGAAAAGCTCAATTTCTCTCGTCATCCAGCATTCCCTACACCTACCAGCTTTGTCCTTCACCCTAACAGAACATTCTGTCTCTGGAATCTCTTTATCTTATTTTTGAAGGCTTCCCATTTTCTGACCATTCCTTTATCTGCAAACATCCACCCACCAATCAACTTTTGAAAGTTCTTGTCTAATACCGTCAAAATTGGCCTTCCTCCAATTTAGAACTTTAACTTTTAGATCTGGTCTATCCTTTTCGATCACTATTTTAAAACTAATAGAAATATGGTCACTGGTCCCAAAGTGCTCCCCCATTGACATCTCAGTCACTGCCCTGCCTTATTTCCCAAGAATAGGTCAAGTTTTGCACCTTCTCTAGTAGGTACATCCACAAATTTTCTTGTACAAACTTAACAAATTCCTCTCCATCCAAGCCCTTAATACTTTGGCAGTCCCAGCCCAAGTTTGGAAAGTTAAAATCCCCTACCATAACCACCCCATTATTCTTACAGATAATTGAGAACTCCTTACAAATTTGTTTCTCAATTTCCCACTGACTATTGGGGGGGGGGTCTATAGTACAATCCCAATAAGGTGATCATCCCTTTCTTATTTCTTGGTTCCACCCAATAACTTACCTGAACTTATTCCCAGGGATATCCTCCCTAAGTACAGCCGTAATGTTATCCCCAATCAAAAACACCACTCCCCCTCCTTTCTTGCTCCCCTTTCAATCCTTCCTATAGCATCTATACCCCTGGAACATTAAGCTGCCTGTCCTGTCAATCCCTGAAGCATGTCTCTGTAATTGCTATGATATCCCCATCCCCTGTTCCCAAGTATGCCCCGAGTTCATCTACCTTACCTGTTAGGCCTCTTGCATTGAAATGCAGTTTAATTCATCAGTCCTACCTCACCCTCTCCTCATAATATATTAGGCCCCTTCCAATTCAGGTGCAATCCATGCTTCTTATACAGGTCACTTCCACCTCGGAAGACATTCCAATGGTCCAAAAATGTGAATCCTTCTCCCCTGCACCAGATCCTCTGCCATGCATTCATCCGCTCTATCCTCCTATTCCTACTCTCACTAGCTCGTGGCAGTAGGATTAATCCAGATATTACTAACCTTGAGGACCTCCTTTTTAAATTCCTGCCTAACTTTCTATATTCTCTCTTCAGAATCTCTCATCCTTTTCTCTTCCTATGTCATTAGTTTCAATGTGTACAATGACCTCCTGCTGGTCCCTCTCCCCTTTGAGAATATTCTGCACCCTCTCTGAGATATCCTTGATCCTGGCACCAGGGAGGCAACACACCATTGCAACGTCTCGCTGTTGGCCGTCCAACCCACCCCTCTACTTTTTCCAAAATAGCATACTTGTTTGAGATGGGGATAGCCATAAGAGACTCCTGCCTGACCTGCCTCCCTCTCCTACCTTTTCTGGAGGTAACCCATCTACCTGACTGTATCTTTGGTTTACCTCCCTTCCTGCAACTGCAATCTATCACACCCCGTAGCTCCTGTAAATTTCTCATTGCCTCTAGCTGCCACTCCAACCAATCCATGCAGTCCGATAAGACTCGCCACAAAACACACTTCCTGCAGACACAATCATGAGTAACATGGAAACTCTCCCTAATCCCCCAAATCTGACAGAAGGAGCACATCACTCTACTAAATGCCATCTTTGCACCTTAACAATCTACAGACCCAGAGAATAGCATAGTCTTACTGCTCTAAAAAACACTGCTCCAGGCTAACTTAGTACCTATGTTTTCATATTTTTAAAGTTTAATCAAGAAGCAGATCTTAATAAAACATCAAAAAGGAACGCACCCTACTCACAATTGTAGATTTACAAAAAGAAAACATTAAGATTACACTTTAGAAAGCCACTTAGTTGCTCCTCTGCTGTGAGCTCTCCCACAAAGGTTTCTCCAAGGTCAGCTGTGAATTTTACAGTTTGTTAATTTTTCTTAGACGAACTCTGATGTCCAGAGATATTTGAAATCAAACAGCAGAACAGTCAGCTGTGCAGATTCACTGCTGGGTCAGACAGCAGTGCAGATTTATTTCTCTGTTTGATTCACTTCCCATGTGGTCACTCTCTTTATCTGTTTTCCTTATTTTAGAAGTGTTCTTGCTTTGTTCTTTTTTTTCCCCAAAGTTCCAAAATAATGCAAATGCTTAAAAAACAGTAATTACTTCTCCCAGAATTTGAGGAAATCAGCTCCAACACTGTAAATACCTCAAAAAAGGAGCAGCTCTTACAGACACAATTTTTTTCCCATCCTCCAACTTGGAATACCCATTTTGTTCTGCATTTTACATATAACACTGATCAATTTCAAAGTGTTTTGTATTCACCAGGTTTGACCAATGTTTTTACTGAATACTGCTTTCAGAAAGGGTGTACAGCATGGACAGGATGAATAGAAGTGTATTACCTGAGAGATTTGCTCTGGCGATTTTACTGCTGTAAGAGTTAGGTTGGATTTTTATGGCATCTATAGTACATAAAATACATGCTATGGAAACACAGGTATATTGGATATCTTTTTCTTCAACAGAAATTCCTGATCTCCCCCTCAGCAAGATACTTAGTACCTTTTCTCAGCGGTCTTTTGTATTATCTGACATCATTGCTGAACAATTTTTAATTTTAAGATGCTTTGTTTTGAAATCATCGACAAAGGAAATAGCTCCTTTTTATCTTCCCTTTTTTTTCACTTTCTGATCTTGTATGCGATTGATGTTTGTGGGAATTTACTGTGAAGAAGTTGGCTGCTGGGTCTATAACAGCAGTAACTGCAATTTTAAAATGTTATATTGGCGACAAAGCACTTAGGAACATACTGAGGTACTGGAGGGCACAATATAAACACTTCTTTTGACGTAAAAGGATTCCTCCTTTTTCACTTAAAACCTATCAACTTAAAACCTATCATGTTATAAGATGTACTAAGGTGCTTCAGAGGAACATCATCAGACAACGATTGAACACAAATTTGGAGAAATTTTGTAGACTAAGGGACTAAATGTAACAATATTCAACTTAGAGCTCCAGATCATTTTCGTAACAAGCTCTGTCATGATGACGTCAGATCACATGGGATTGAAACTTGATGGAAGAAGGCAACAGTGAAGCGCTTCTCTACTACGTTTACGTACATCATTTCTAGGCAATAAATGCTAACAGTTTGCACTAGCCTTGTGTTCAGTGATTACATGCCCTTGCCCTAGCCCTAACCCTAAGCCAAGTTCCTAATGCCCCAACCCTAACCCAAGTTCCTAATTAAAGTCCTATCAATATTAGAACAGGTAACCAAGTGTCTGGCAGACTGACGTAAAGAAGAAGAGAGCAGTGAAGAGGTTTAGGAAGGAATTTCAAAACTCGGGAACTAGACAGCTGAAAGCACTGCCAGAATAAAACAAAGTACTACAGTGTTGGGATCTGAAATAAACAGAAAGTGCTGGAAAACTCAGCATATCTGGCAGAATCTGTGGAGAGAGAAACTAAGTACAAGCCTGATATAACTCTTCTTTGGATCCTCCTGAGTTCTGGAGAGTCATATTGGACTCAAAACATTATCTCTGTTTCTTCCTGCGTAGACATTGCCAAACTTCCTGCATTTCTCCAGTGCTTTTTGTTTCTATGCCACTAATAATTCACCGAACCAGGTCAGAGTGCACACGAAACTGGAGCTGATGGAGCACTGCAATCACGGATGATGGTATCTTTGGAGGAGTTAAAGAGATAGAGAACTGATGTCATAGAAGGATTTGAAAACAATTATGAGAACGTACGAACATGAAGGTATAGAAGTTAATTTAGATCAGATTGCATGTGGATGATGGCTTAACAGGACTTGGTATGAATTATGACACAGAAAGTGGAGTTCTAGATGACATCAAGTTTATGAAGGATGCAATTTAGAAGTCTGGCAAGGAGATCACCAGAGTAATCAAGTACAGAGGGACTGGAGGTAAAGCATAAAGTTTCAGACAAGCTGAGACAGCTGTGGAGATAAGCAATGTTATGCAATTGGTCTTGAAGACAGAGGATTATGAATTTGGAAATCAGCTTTTGTTCTTACCTCATAAGTACTGGTGATATTCAGTCTGTAGAATACAGGCAGGAAGAATTCAGCACTGACGGTGATCACGATGGCGTAGGTAAAGCAAAAAATCAAGAACATGGCCCCAAAGCGGTAAACCTCTGCTGGTGTCCCAATCACTGTAATTGCAGACATAAAGCTGGACGCAAGGGACAAAGCCACAGGCAATGCCCTCAGCTGTCTGTTTCCCAACAAATACTGGACATTGCTATGCTGGCCTCTAGCTTTAATTGCCTGATAGATTCCAATGAGTGCAGAAGTGACCAGCATAAGTACAAATACTACATAATCCCACGCAGTGAACTCACCCGCAGCAGTGCTAGGAGTAGACATTTCCAAACTGATTCAAAGTGGGGGCTGTACACTTCAGAGTTTGAATAAAAAGTTTAAAAATAAACTTTCTGAAAGTTTTGAGTATCAACACAAGTTGACAGAACAAAACTTAAGTTTTCTGGAAAAACTGTAGAGAAAACGTCCGGGGAATTTGTCTAATTGTTCTGTGCATTTCATGAAAATGCTAAATGATGAAGGGAATTTATAACAGATGTGGTAGAGATCGCAAGCAAATGTAGACTACAGCTAGAACAAAGAGATATAGAAACCTCATGTCACGCATTGATTCTTTGCCCCTCAAACAGCACAGCTCAAAAAATCTTTGCACCACACCTAAAACATTGAATGAACAAATCACCTTACCTCCAAATTTACAAAGAAACTACTGGCTCACTATTGGTTAATTTCAAATGAGTTTTCTGAACTCGCAATTTGAGAAGCAAGCATCAACCATCACAGACAATATTTATATTTAAAATTGAAGTGCAGGCTACTGTTTAAATCAACATGTTTTGCCG